GTTCTAAAGAAATAGCTATGAGTTTGGTCGACTGGAACAATGGAATTAGTTGAAAATAGGGCTCAAAGTGGGCGAAATCGCCGATTCGTAAATATCGCCGAGGACGCCAACCTCGCAAAAGCGTAATTCCATCAGTTTTCCATCAAATTTCGTTCTTTTGGTGTCGTTACAATCGGGAAAAGATTCTCTATCATTTCATAAGGATTTTTTTTTGGTGGGTGGGGAGGGGAAGGGAGGTGGAATTTGCGACACCAGGAGACACCTCAGGATTTGGGGTTGCGACAGTCAAGGGGTTAAAGGGCTGGCACTAGGAACTTTCTTATTTAGCAGTCGCACTCAATAAACAAGCACAAAAAACAATAGATTTCTACAAAATTTGTATGAATGCGCAGGGTAATGTTCACTCGACGAGAAACAAAGCCGTGTTTAGGATGCTTTGTGTGGGCGCTGGCAGACAGACATGTTCAGTACGGTGGACAAAAACCAAAGTGATAAACGAAAACTGGGACAATATTTTTATGAAAAAAGTCGTCAAAAACTGAATTCGACGAAAACCAGGGCAAACGATAACCGAGGTTCCACTGTACTAACTTTTGTGACTTTATAAGGCTGTTCTGTTAGATGAATGGGTGGTTTTGCATGCTCAATCGCTAGAATGAAAGGCATACTAGCAAAATGCAGTAGCTAAGAATTTAGTCAACTGAGCAATGGAATTGGCTTAAAATAAGATTAAAAAAAAAAATTGTGCCCAGAGCACCAACTTTGTACCTGCTTAATTCCATGTAGTTTCTGCCAAGTTTTGTATACATGTCCAAGTGTTTGGTTGTTGAGGCTGAATTTACTGACTACTACTTAGGTCTCCATGCATGTACTTACTCTTGTTTGCATTTTAATGATCTGAAAGCATTTTTAAGAGGATATGTCTTTGACTAGTTTCCTCACTGTGAGTGAAGATCAAACTGAGTGCATTTTGATTTCTAGTAGGTTCTGTATTTGCTGTCTTTGGAGTCCTCTGGTATATACTTCCTTAAGCAAATTAGAAGCATAATACTAAAAAAAAAAAAAAAAAAAAAAAAAAAAAAAAAAAAAAAAAAAAAAAAAACTAACTAACAGCAGTGAAGTCCTTATTAGTTTTACCTACTCATGAGTAAAAAAGCCTACCTGTGGGTGAAGTGTAGTACCAATAAAGGCATTCACTGCTACTAGTCTTTACTGCCCTATACTTCCTGGAACAGGTCAGCCATCAATTGGTAAACCAATTCCATCAATAATCCAGCATTAATTTCAGCTAGCCTAAATTAAAATTTCTGGGGCTTCCACACCAACCTGCTGCTACTGTTTGGTGGCGCTACTTTCTGCATAAGTCATTCCAATTTGTTTTTCTCCATTTATTGTTATAAGCTGCTCACTTCTAACCCTAGCCATGGTTCCAACAAATAAAGAGAGATGCTTCTCGTTGTGCAAAGCACACACACTGTGCATTGTTCATAAACGATAAGGTGGCTTTGCAGCAACTGTCAGTCACCATGAGCTCAGCTCATTCAGATAAGCTGTGACTGGTAAATTTGGGCCTACATATGAGAGAATAGGTCTGTGTGATAAGTGTGCACTATATAAAAAAACAGCCTGCAACACGCAGTGCATAATGAGAAAAAAAAAAAAAACTGCGAATGTGTTTTTGGTGTAAAGCAGTTTTTTTGGTCTCATTTGACAGAATGGATATACCTTATACCTTAACCCGTAAATGGTCCAAACGTATATATATGTTCACTACCCCAGTGCCTCGAATATTTTGAAAAATAAAAAAATTTTTGTTAATGAAAATAAAGAGCACATTTTTCTAAGTGTAATAGGATTAAAATAAAAAAAATAGGGTCAGTACTTACTGAGATATGAGGCTGCAAAGTTGGCACTTAACCCTTTCAGGGTTTCAGACATACTAGTACGGCTTACGTACCAGGGTTTTTGACGTACTAGTACACCTAAATTCTAGCGCCCTCAAATCTAGTGAGAGAAAGCTGATAGGCCTACATATGAAAGAATGGGTCTATGTGGTCAGTGTGTGCAGTATAAATCCTGCAGCGCACAGTGCGTAATGAGAAAAAAAAAAATTTGACCAAGTTTTTGGATTAAAACAGTGACTTTGCACTGTATTTTCATATGGTATTTATTGTTGTATTCTAGTTTTCCTGGTCTCATTTTGTAGAATGGAAGACATATTACAGAAACTGAGATGATTTTGACTGGTTTTACAATGAAAAGTACCTTGAAATTGAGCTCAAAGTAGCAGAAATGTTCGATTTTTACCGAAGTTCAAAAGTAAACAAATCATGCTAAGCGTCCAATACACGTCAACTGGTGAGTCTAATATTCTTTCACAAGTGCGCCGATATTATTTATACCATTTCTACACTAATGCAGTAGTCTGCATAACAGTAAATCTTCTATTTTTTGTGAGAATAAAAATTCAAAGTGGAAAGCAAAAGAATGTAAGAGGGGCCTGGGGACGTGACTAATGAACAGCGGAAATTTTATTTTAGTGCCAGGAATGTCTTTCTTGTTTATTCTGGACCCTATTTGGAAATTGGCATCTTTTGAAATTTGTGTGAAATTGGCAAAATTGCTAAATTCTGACCACTGAATTGGATAGTTGAAATCGGTAAATGGGTAGTTTCTTGAACTCATTTGATAGAAAAAATGGAGTTCTAGCAAAATAGTTACGATTTCTGTTGAGTAGTACACTGGAATTGGCTGAAATTAGGGCTCAAAGTGGGCAAAATCGTCAATGCGTAAACACCATCAAGACCGCTAACTTCGCGAGAGCATAATTCCGTAAGTTTTACATAAAATTTCATACTTTTGGTGTCATTATGATCGGGAAAAGATTCTCTATCTTTTCATAAGAATTTTTTTTTTTTTTTTTTGAAATTTGAGTGACCCTGAGAACAAGTCTGGGAGAGGGCCTGGGGACCCTGAAAGGATTAATGCTCACCTGACGGCAACAGAGTCCTGCCGCTTGCAGAAGTGTTGCCGATATACCATTTTTTCTCATTTTTTATTATTTTGTATCATTTTTATGTTCTGATAATTACAATTTATTGTATTTCTTGTCCTGTCATAACCAATCCTTTTTCTAACACTAATATTAGGTACTGAAATTGTACTCAAATTGTCACAAACACATAGACAGGTGGACATTTACACCTGCCTTGGTCATTTACTATTGTCTAGGAATATATACAAAGTATTTACAGGTCCCAGTAATGTTTTGGATACACGGGAGTATAGAAGAAGGAAGGAAGGAAGAAAGAAGAAGGAAGGAAGAAAGAAGAAGGAAGGAGGAGGAGGAAGAAGGAAGAAATTCCCTTGAAGCAATGTGTAAGACAAGTGTTCAGTGACAAACATCCGGAGGGCAGTGATAAGATCAGATATGAGATGATATTTGATGGGTTCCAGCGAGGGTGCAGAGATAAGACGAGATAGTGCAGAGATAAGAGGAGATAAGCTATGACATTTGTTGGGTGCCAGCGAGGGTACAGAGATAAGGGATGACATTTGACGAGCTCGTATCTCTGATTATCTGTCTCTCTGTCTTATTTCTCTGATTGCTTGTCTCTTTCCATCTCTCTGCTTGTCTCTGTCTCAGAGAGAGCCACTGTGAACCAACAGGTATTCTGATGCATTATATCTACAAGCACAGTATAGCACTTCAGATTTTTTAGGTTATCCTAGGTAATTTACACTATGTATAATTGTATTTGTGCGTACATGTGAGACAGATAGACAGAGAAAGAGATAGACAGACAGAAATAGACAAGAGACAGATAGACAGACCCTAAACTTGGGGTCAACATCACTTTCCTCTTAAAAGGGGAGTGTTAATATGACATTACATCAGTGAATCCTTGGTGTTTGCCCTACCGTTTGCTCTAGCTGGTGCTCAATATAACTGGCACTCCTACAAGGTACTAAGTGGTTCCAGATTTTTTTAATATGGTGCACACCGAGTGTTAAGACCCATTCTATGCTGACCAGGCATCTCAGGCCAATCATGCCAGATTTGGAAGCAGGAAAAATAAAACATATTTACATTTGGGGTGCTAGCGGTAAGAACGTATATATACGTTTAGACCGTTTATGGGTTAAATAGATATATATGATTTTGAATGGTTTTAGGATGGAAAGTACCTTGAATTGAGCTCAAAGCAGCGAAAATGTTTGATTTTTGCTGATGTTTAAGAGTAAACAAATGACGTCACTGTACAATATGTGTCCAACTGGCTGGTCTAATATGTGGTCACGAATGAGTTGACATTATTTATGCAGTTATTACAATAATGCAGTAGTCGCATAATTTTCTATTTTTTTTCTTTGTGTGAATAAAAATTAAAAATGGAAAGCCAGCATAATATAAGAGAGGCCTGGAGACATGACTAATGAACAGAGAAAATGTTATTTTAGTGCACTGTTTATTCCAGACCTTATTTTGAAATTAGCATCTCTTGAAATTGACCAAATTACCAATTTCTGACCACTTTATTGGGTAGTTGAAATTGGTAAATAGGTGGTTTTTTGTACTCAATTGACAGAACAGAAGGAATACTAGTGAAATAGCTGAGTTTGGTAGACTGGAATAATGGAATGGGCCAAAAATAGGGCATAAAGTGGGCAAAATTGCTGATGCGTAAATATCGCTGTTGGGTTAAGTGTATTCTAACCTAACCACTCTGTAATCCGGCAAAATCACTAATCCAGCACCCTACAGGTCCCGATGATGCCGGATTAGTGATGGTCAACCTGTACTGTCTTGAATAATGTTGTTGTTTATCATTTTCCATTTGGAATTTTGATGTCAGTATACTTCTGGCAAGGCAGTTATTGAATAAATGATAATTGAAGTTTTCCCCTTCTTTAAGTTAAGCAGCCAGTGGTGAAAAATATACATCATTAATAAAAAAAAAAAATTTAAACAGTTGTTCCACCAACTCTGTATCATGTACCTGTCTAGGGCTTAACTTGCCAGGCTCCCATAGCAGTTTATCTTCATTTTCATAGGGAGGAGTTGCACCATATGCTTGTAGACCCTCTGGTACTTGTGCCTGGTAGGATGAACCAATCATAATAGTTTTATGCCAATCCTCCTCCTCTCCGGAATACTCGCCTTCATCTTCCTCCTCTTCTTCACTCTGCTGTCTAGAGCTACCAGTTGACAGAATTCCTAACGGTCTATGACCTGGAATTTCAAATGTGAGAGATTTTAATTTAAAGAAAAACTGAGTGACTGAAATACAATAAAAATTAACACCATTAATAAATTAACTTATTCTACAATACAGTTATGACAAACAAATTACCTGTCCATGTCAAGTTTTAATTTATTTTAATCAGTGGAAAGTGTTAAACTTAACCCTTTATCGGGCAGGCTCTAAAATTTTCTAGCTTCAACACGTGCAAGTTTGCGCGTGTCATCCTACACGTGCCGCGCATCTGGATTCCTGTTCTTTAATTCTAATCAATCACAAGCCTTCCCTGAGTCGCTTCAGCTAAGTGGTGATGGCGTTTGCCGCCTTCCCATTGGTTGAGAGAACAAAACATAAACACGTGTGGCTTGGCGTTGCCCAGAGTGGGTTTTTTCCATCCAGTGTCACTAATATACTCTTGGATTTTACCCTCTACAATGTCAGTAAGTACTTATTGTTGTGTTTAGTGCGTAAATGAATAGTTTAGGCATATTTTGATATTTTCATAAAGTCCCTGTGAAGCATAATGTGAGTGTAGCATGCAGTTGAATAAAGTGCAACAAAGGAAGCTCACAAATTTTCATGGCTGCCCGAGAAGTGACATAGTACAATTTCAGTAAAATAAATATTTATAAAAAAAATTCTATTGCATATATGAATTCTGTAGTGGTCTGGATCTATACAGAAGGTTTTTATTGTCCTTTCAGATCAATGAGAAGTTGTTTCATGGGGAGCCCTCCAGCACCAGGTCAAAATATGTCTGCATTTTGGAGGACAGTGGCTCAGAACCAGAAGTAGATGACCCAGAATTGCTGGATAGTGGTGATGAATACTTGCCACTGGATGCAGAGATGCCAAATGATGATGAGGAGGAAGAAAGGCCAGCCAAAAAGCAGAAATTAGTGAAGAAAAAGAAAGGTTTAGTTGCAAGTATTGCAGCAACTTGAAGAAATATGTTACATCCTCACTTCAGTGTTCTGTATGCAAATAAATCTGTGCATAAAGAGTAATAGAGATTGCTTCAGGGACTACCATACTATGAATTAGCAACAAGAATAATTGGTCTTCCTCATGAATCTCAGGAATATGGTACTTGAAAGTTTTATCCCATTGCAATGTGCCCTTGTTGCTATTTGTTTCATTTTTATATTTTTCTAATACATACAAACTGTTTTGATACAAGTTCCATTTATGTTTTTGATATTGTCTGTTTGTATAATAAATTTAAAAATAGTTATTGGGTGTTTTATTAACAATTGCACAGTTTGCAACATTCAGATTTATACTCCCTATGTCGGGCAAGGTCGTAAATTTTCGTGCTTCGGAGATTTGCAGTTGCTTGAAAACTAACCATCAGAATTTCATTTATATAGGCTCATTGACCTTATATTGAGTTACTCTATCCACCATAGGGAGTTCAGTTCGAATTTCTAATTTTATGGACACTTGCCCGATAAAGGGTATTAAAGGGGTCATACAGTGTCTGGTACCCATGTTGTAACCCGAATTAGCATTAATCAATTCATCTTTTCTTTCAATATGTGCAACATTAATCTTGATATTCACATGCAAAAATTTTTTGTTTCCAAATATTATGCAGTAGATTTCTTTTTGTGTGCAAGTTTGTTAGTTATCAACAAAGTAGACATTTTTGACTACACTGTTAATGATAACCAGCTCTGGACTGAAATAACAAATGTGGAATCACCTATAAAAAAAAAAACTAGTTTAAATTAATGGAATGCATTTGGTATGGTAAGTCATTGAAGTAAATGAAGAATCACAAATATAAAATTTCTCTCTCTCTCACATACAGTACAGTGTATAGAATAGAAAAAGTTCTAACAAATCAATAAGCTTACATCTGAGCGACCGTGAAGATGAGGGTGTTGGAGTGTCACCATTTGTATCCATGTCTGCATACAGCTGTGCCAACTCAGAAGTCTTTTCTCTTCGTTTTCTCTCAGGTTTCACCTCTGGCTTTATTTGCTAAAAAGAAAATTGGCAATCATTATCTTGATATATTTATAACCAATGGGACATAATTTTTTTTTCTTTCCTCACATACTCTTCTATATATATGATACAGCATAGGCTAAAGAGTAATTTACTATATATGCTGACATGTGCATACACATGTTTGCTTATACACATTGTATATGTAGAGAGGGGTGGGAGATATTTGCAGTTTGGAGGGCATCTGAACTGTAGCATCGACAAGCCTATGCCAAGACAGCAATAGCATGAATGATGGTGAAAGTGTTTCTTCTTTTTTTTGGGTTACCCTGCCTCAGTGGTTTTGGTTCACTGTGTCCCCAGATGGCAGATGGCATTTCAACAACCTAAGATGGAACAATTGACATCCACGTACTGTATATGTTTGACAGCATAAAAATTTGGAACACAGTCTCCGAAGTTCCAAGAGTCCCAAAAGAGATAATGATTTTGATGATTCCTTAGGGATCCTTTCAGTAGCACAGTACCTGGGAAAGGCAACATGCCTGAGTTTACAAGCTGGTGGAATCCTGAGAAGGCAACTGTAGGCACCACTTCCCTGGAAATTAACCAGAGAAACTTGGATTTGCCTGACCATCTATTAAGCTTAGCAGCAATTGGAGGAGTTACTAAGGGGATACATAATCTTCTGATGTCATAAGGATGAATTCTACATGACCTCAAGCAATACTTAATATACTGAAACTAAATTTCTTGATTGCAATACATTCAGTATGACTAGAAGAGAAACAGAATAATGAAGGGATTTCAGTGTCTTGAATTGCTTCAGGCGGGACAGGAAAAAATGAAAGAATCCGACCCATCCTTAACAGGAGCCTAATGGTACAAATAACTGGTCCCAAGTCTACTATTGCAGAAAAAATTGTACTTGGGAGTACGGATATGCTAAACTTTCTAAATCAGCCTCCACGACACCTGCTCGATGACACAGAGACTATGGGGCTGTCTGACCAGCATGGATCAATGTCTGCATACGGGTTAAAATGTCCCTTACAGCCCTAACTCGGCAGTGACCCCTCCAGGAAAGGATAACATCCCCTCTTTAGAGTGGAAAGTTACTAGCTTGAATATGTAACTAACAATTTGTAGTTATTGAAGCAGATCTCAATTTGTGGTGAGTGTGTTAGATAGGAGTGAATAGAGACGAATGGTTTTTGGGACCTGACAAGCTGTTGAAGTGTGAGCAGGGTAATATTTTGTGAAGGGATTCAGGAAAACTGGTTAGCTGGACTTGAGTCCTGGAAATGGTAAGTACAATGCCTGCACTTTAAAGGAGAGGTTTGGGATATTGGTAGTTTGGAGGGAAGTCTAGGCTGTCGTACCTGAGCGCCTCTGCAAAGACAGTGATTATGTATGAGTGATGGTGAAAGTTTTTTCTTTCTTTTTGAGTCACCCTACCTTGGTGGAAAACGGCCAACATGTTAAAAAAAAAAAATAACTGCACTGTGAAGAACACTAGTAACCCTTCTGCACCTGTTCTTATTTAACCATCTGAGGGTCTGTACCGTAGTTCTATGGCTTTGAAGTCAGGGTCCAAGCTGTAGTGCTACGCTGTGAGTTCAGGTCACTCAGACAAGCTGAGCGGTAAATCTGGGCCTAGATATGAGAGAATACATCTCTGTGGTAAGTGTGCACCACATAAAACAAATATAACAAGAAAAAGAACTGCAACTGTATTTTTTGGTTAAAATAGCAACTTTGCAGTGTTGTTTTGCATGTTTTTTACAGGTATATTCGCGGTTTCTTGGTCTCATTTGATAGAAAGGAAGTTATATTACAGAAATTGAGATAATTTTGATTGCCTTTAGTACAGAAAATGACTTCAAACTGAGCTCGAAGTAGCAGAAATATTAAATTTTTGCCAATGTTCAAGAGTAAATAAATGACGTCATGTGTCCAATACACATCAGCTGGTGGGTCTAACGTGCATTCACGAATACACTGATATTATTTATACAATTATTACAATATTGCATAACAGTAAATCTTCTATTTTTTGGTTTGAATAAAAATAATGTGAATAAAAAATCAAAATGGAATTAATTTGTAAAGCCTGGAAACAACTAATAAACAGAGGAAATGTTATTTTAGTGCCAGGAATGCCTGCATTGTTTATTCTGGACCCTGTTTTGAAATTGGAACATTTTGAACTTTGTGTGAAATTGGCCAAATTACCAATTCCTGATCACTTTACTGGGTAACTGAAATAGTTGAATGGGCGATTTCTTGTGCTCAATCGATAAAATAGAAATGATACTTGTGAAACAGCTAAGAATTTGGTCGACTGGAATAATATAATTGGCCTAAAATGGGAGTCAAAGTGGGCAAAATCACCGATATGTAAATATCACTGATGAGGCAAAATTCATGAGAGTGTAATTTTGTCAATTTTCCATCAAATTTTCTACTTTTTGTTTTATTACCTTCAGAAAAAATTCTCTACCATTTCATAAGAAAACAACAAAAAATTTTGGGGGAAAAATTCTTGGACCCTGTAGACAAGTTTCAGATCGAGGGTGTGGACCCTGAAAGGGTTAATTTCTAGTTATTATATGGCCTTTCGTTCACCCTGCTAGTGGTGCAAGGAAATCTTAACTCTTTTGTATGCTTTGGTAATCTTATACAGTACATGATTATCTTCTCTCATTTAACCTTTTTATCAGTAGAGAGAGCATGTATAATGCTTTCAGCCTTTCTTCATAACTCGCATTTTTTAGGCATGATAGCCACTCTATAGTTTACCATCAAACTGTTTTGTAATGTTTTGCAGACCTACATGCTGGGAGGTGGTGCAAAAAAGCTAGTAACCCATAATTGCACTATGTAAAGTAAAAGGACACAAGTGCAAATAATGTGACATTTTCTTGTGGCAACATCTCACTCTCCAGGAGCTTTGTCAAGCTTGACATAGCTCCTGGAGAGCAAAACATTGCCATAATAAAATGTCACATTAGTTGCATTTGTGTCCTTCTACTCTACATTTTTTTTTTTTTTCAACAAGTTGGCCGTCTCCCACCGAGGCAGGGTGACCCAAAAAAGAAAGAAAATCCCCAAAAAGAAAATACTTTCATCATCATTCAACACTTTCACCACACTCGCACATTATCACTGTTTTTGCAGAGGTGCTCAGAATACAACAGTTTAGAAGCATACACATATAAAGATACACAACATATCCCTCCAAACTGCCAATATCCCAAACCCCTCCTTTAAAGTGCAGGCATTGTACTTCCCATTTCCAGGACTCAAGTCCGACTATATGAAAATAACCGGTTTCCTGAATCCCTTCACTAAATATTACCCTGCTCACACTCCAACAGATCGTCAGGTCCCAAATACCATTCGTCTCCATTCACTCCTAACACGCTCACGCACGCTTGCTGGAAGTCCAAGCCCCTTGCCCACAAAACCTCCTTTACCCCCTCTCTCCAACCCTTTCGAGGACGACCCCTACCCCGCCTTCCTTCCCCTATAGATTTATATGCTTTCCATGTCATTCTACTTTGATCCATTCTCTCTAAATGACCAAACCACCTCAACAACCCCTCTTCTGCCCTCTGACTAATACTTTTATTAACTCCACACCTTTTCCTAATTTCCACACTCCGAATTTTCTGCATAATATTTACACCACACATTGCCCTTAAACAGGACATGTCCACTGCCTCCAACTGTCTCCTCGCTGCTGCATTTACCACCCAAGCTTCACACCCATATGAGAGTGTTGGTACTACTATACTTTCATACATTCCCTTCTTTGCCTCCATAGATAACTGTTTTTTGACTCCACATATACCTCAACGCACCACTCACCTTTTTTCCCTCATCAATTCCATGATTAACCTCATCCTTCATAAATCCATCCGCCGACACGTCAACTCCCAAGTATCTGAAAACATCCACTTCTTCCATACTCCTCCTCCCCAATTTGATATCCAATTTTTCTTTATCTAAATCATTTGATACCCTCATCACCTTACTCTTTTCTATATTCACTTTCAACTTTCTACCTTTACACACATTCCCAAACTCATCCACTAACCTTTGCAATTTTTCTTTAGAATCTCCCATAAGCACAGTATCATCAGCAAAAAGTAACTGTGTCAATTCCCATTTTGAATTTGATTCCCCAAAATTTAATCCCACCCCTCTCCCAAACACCCTAGCATTTACTTCCTTTACAACCCCATCTATAAATATATTAAACAACCATGGTGACATTACACATCCCTGTCTAAGACCTACTTTTACTGGGAAGTAGTCTCCCTCTCTTCTACACACTCTAACCTGAGCCTCACTATTCTCATAAAAACTCTTTACAGCATTTAATAACTTACCACCTATTCCATATACTGCAACATCTGCCACATTGCTCCTCTATCCACTCTATCATATGCCTTTTCTAAATCCATAAATGCAATAAAAACTTCCCTACCTTTATCTAAATACTGTTCACATATATGCTTCAATGTAAACACTTGATCTACACATCCCCTACCCACTCTGAAACCTCCTTGCTCATCTGCAATCCTACATTCTGTCTTACCTCTACATATTGTTGGTAATTCTACCAACATATATACATAATTACACTAATTACAAACTTGTGTTTTAACAGTCATATAGACTGCCTACTCTAGCCTTAATTCCAGAATTGTTGGTGACTGGTATTAAAATGTGAAAAAGTTAATAAACAAGAAAGTTGTATAGAGAAGATTAGGAGGCCAATGTATCAATATCTGTGGGTATCAGCAAAAATTTTAAGTATCATCCCATCATTATTGAAGACACGGTGGTGATTGCATTGCAACCCTAACAAATGCATTTCTGTCTGGGGCTTAGAGAACCACCAAAGTTTATGCCATTTGAGCAATAACAGCCTTCCACATCACTGGGAAGGCTCATATAGCACAAGCCACTGCAACACTTAACCCCTTAACTGTCCAAACATAGATCTACGTACTCTCGCCCAG